AAAAGTCCGACGTCGAGAGCGACAACGATCACATAGGCGGTCCAGGTCAGGTCGTTCTCCCACTAAACAGAGTCGTGGCCATAGCAGATCCGGCAGCCGGTTGGGATGTCCCAACAGCCCTAATTGGGGACAGAACTGCTTACCCCCGTGAGGGGGACGGGGTTAGAAAAGGTGCCCCAAGCAAATGTTGGGGGCCCACGCCGTCTGCAGGCTGACCGTGGTCTCAGACGCTCAACAGATGTTCGAACCAATCACACAAGAAACAATACTATCTCTCTTTCCCCCCCTCCTCCCCGTCGATCACCTCACAGGCTGCTAGGGCGAGTCCGCTCACTCTGGTAGCCTGACATGTTCGTTCTTTTTTAGACAATCCGAGGAGCAACCAACCGGAACGGAGAACGACGCTAGTGGCTCAGGAACTGGCGCGCTACAAGGTTGACATGGCCGCACGCAGCGAGACCCGGTGGGTGCCGACTTCACCTTCTAGGGTGCTCTCCCGAGGCGGAGCGACGGGACGCAGCCTCGCCTTTGCCATCCGGAATGACATCATGGAATGACTGCCCTGTCTGCTGCGGGGCATCAGCAATCGCATCGTCAGTGTCTACACTCCCCCGATAACCGGCCCTGAAGCGGCAAAGAACAAATTATACGAGGCCTTGCAAGCTCTCCTGGCGACTGTGCCGAAGGCGGACAAGTTAATTGTCTTTGATGACTTCAACGTCCGCGGCGGCACAGCTCATGCTGCCTGGAGAGGAGTGCTGGGTCACCATGGTCTCGATGGCTCCAATGATAATGGCTTGCCCCTTCTATGAACCTGCGGCGAAAACCGGCTCATCCTGACCAACACTTACTTCCGCCTTCCGTTGCGTGAGGAGACCACCTGGATGCACCCTCGGTCGAGACACCGGCATCTGCTGGACTATATCCTCGTCCGGAGGCGAGACCGGAGGGACGTGCTGGGGACAAAGGCGATCCCAGGTGATGACGGGTGGACCGACTTTCGCCTCGTCGTCTCCGAAATGAGGCCTTGCATACAGCCTCACAAGAGACCTCAAGATTAGAGATCCCCAGGTAAGTTGAATGTTACTTTGGTGTCGTTGCCTGCTCATCATCTCCACTTCAACGATGAACTAGCCAATTTCCCTGTCGCCGCCGCCTCTGCCGCTGAGGAGAACGTCCCCGTGGAGAACCGATGGCGTCAACTGAGGGACATGGTCTAGTCAACCGCCATGAATGTCCTCGGCCGCGTATGTCGTCAAAATCAGGACTGGTTCGACGACAACGACGCCGGCATCAGCAACTTGCCCACCGAGAAGAACCGACTACACAAAGTCTACGTCACCCGCCTCACCGACGACAACAACGCAGCCTTCTACCGTAGTTGCCGCCTTGTGCACCAGCGGCTGCAGGAGGTGCAATACGAAGGTCTCATCCAAATACCGAACCAAGAATCTCGGTCTGTGGTATCGGGAATTCTGGGCTCTGTACGTGGATGATATCTTCGTCGTCACCGAACAGGATCAGGCGCTGAAATTCAAAGAACATCTCAACGCCGTCTTCTCTGACATTCAGTTTACGAGGGAGGAGGAATAAAACAACCAGCTGGCCTTCTTAGATGTCCTCGTCTGCCACAAAGATTGGAGTGGCATAAAAACCAAGGTGTTCAGGAAAGTGACAAATACGGCGCAAATACTGAACTTCAACAGCAACCACCGAATCAGTCACAAACGCAGTTGCGTAAGGGCTACACACCGGCGCGTTGAGACGCACTGCAACGAAATGAAGGACAAGGTTGCTGAATCACAATATCTTCGACGAGTACTGAGAGCCAATGGCTATCCGCGCAACTCTGTCAACCGGTGCATACGAAAACGACACCAGAGATCAAATCCGTCCGGCCAAAATTTTGGCGGACACTTCCGTACGTGTAGAACGTCTCAGAAGCCGTCAGTCGTCTTCTCACTCCACTTGGAGTTGGGGTTGCACACAGGCCGAAAGCAATCATTAGGCGCCAAGTCATAAGACCGAAAGACCCACTGCCACGGCAGGAAACGTCTGGAGTCGTTTACCGGATCTGGTGCAGTTGAGGACAAAGCAACTACATCGGAGAAACTGGGAGATTACTTCGTACGCGAATTACCAAGCACGCAGCGGCAGTGCGGCGAGGAGACGCTAGTTCTCAGGTGGCGGCTCACTCGACGGGACTCCGCATTATTTTCAAGTTTCAAGAGGGTGAAATCCTCGCAAAGGGTGACAAGCGTGTAAGCCGTGAGCTGCTTGAGCCGTGGTTCTCAGGCCCGCAATCCGTCAACAAGCGCAATGACCTTCCGTTACCGTATTCCGGGCTGAGATTGTCCCTGGACAGGGGAATCAGTCAGTACGCATATGGTCCCACGGCAGACACGTGCTATAAATACTGCACTCCTTGTGCCACCATTACCCTTATCTGCGACTGTCTCTGATGATGGGTTCGAATGAGAATCCGAAACGTCAGGCCAATAAATTTCTTGTTCCAGTGATCGCATCTTCGTCTTCAGAAGTGTGCGTCTTGGCTCCGTCTCCATGCGACTCCTCTGATGTACGTGTGATCCGAATCCGAGAATATCACGGTGCGTCAGGCGCCGTGGCTTGGAAGGCTGCTGGCTGACGGAATAACTTGGACCTCGCAGTCGGCTCAGTGGGTGTTTGTGTGGAGCAGCCGACTGGTGGTCTAGGAGTGAGGCTGTAATGGCTATTTCTTAATGTGGCCATTATGGCACTCCTATTCCGTGGGATCCAGGCCAGGTGCGACAGAACGCCTAGATGCGGCTTCGACCGCGCCAGCCCCTTTTAGTTTTGCTTAAAATCATGCTTATTTGCTGTGTGAAGCAGGGAGCGTGGAGTGGAACGCCAAGAAGCGGACTCGAGCGTGCCATTTACCTGCGCCCTCCTCCGACTCCGGTCTTCTTGACTCTGTTTTGACAAAGGGTCCAGGTGAGGGAGGAGAGAGTGCGGTGGATGTTGTGCAAGTCTACTACTAATATCAACTAATTCACGCACAAGTCACCTTGTTCTGGAGCATGCGGTGGACACCGTGGGATGCGACGGTCGAACTGTCAGATGGTGCCCAAGGCAGCGTGGAGTACTTTGTGGATTGAAAGGCACAGCTGAGGTCTTGCTGCATCGGTCGGTCAAACCGCCATGACCTCTCCTGGAGGCCGACAGTTATCCCTACTTTCAGAAGGCCGTGCTGAATGCAGACGTAACTGTTTCGCCCGGAGATCATGAAACAACACTACTCATTGTCAAGAGATCTTTCACTTGCGGCGACAGTGTCTGCAGTGATGACTTGGGTTTATGTGCAATATGGATGTCGACGGTTAGCTCTCATGGAATGTCTTTTTTTATAATTCAGTATATATGAGGGATAGAGGCAGAGCCTTGGAAAACCCAATTTACAGATAGACGTATGAAAAAAAACATGTAGATATATACATAGCAGTTATACCAGTCATTGATATCATGTAAATGTTTGACCATCAAGCATAAGTTTATCTAGTCTTCTTTGGAAAGTCTCGACGCTTTCCGCTAAGACAACGGAGTTCGGCAATTTGTTCCATCCCACAACCAGTCAGTGAGAGAAGGATTTGGCCCGTAAATCGAGTCTGGCATGTTTCATCTTCAATTTGTATGGGTGCCCTCGGAGATTTGTCGTTCGCGCCAGTTCGAAGAAGTCGCCAAACTGAAGAGCACAGTCTAACCCTCGGACGATCCTGAAGGCCATGATCATGTCCCCTCTGTACTGTCTATAAGAGAGAGGAAATATTTTTAGCTTCTCCAGCCGTCTCTCATAAGGTAAACCACATAATCCGCCGACTAGCCTGGTCGCTCTACGTTGTACGTTCTCCATTAGGGTGTAATCTTTTTTCGTCCAGGGACACCATGCCTGGACACAATGTTCCAACATTGGTCGAACGTATGCGCCAAATATTCGGCCGAAAAGTTCTTCATCAAAATTGACGAAAGATCTTCTAATCGCGCCTAGAATACCCATAGCTTTCTTTGATACCTTAGCGCAGTGAGACGATGGTTTGAGAGTTGACCTCATCCACACACCGAGGTCTCTCAATTCGTTGACTGATTCGAGTTGGTGACCTCCTATAAAGTACTGAGATTCAAATCTCAACGGCCTCCTGTTGCTCGAACGTAATCGGATAAGTTGGCATTTGTTACGATTGAGGCTTAGGCACCACTCATCACTCACCACTCTTGAGGGATTTTCTTTATTGCACAACATCAAATAATTTATAATCGTGTCTTCACTTTTTGCGTAAGGTAGATGTCTACGGGTCCTAAAACTAAGGCGGTTTCTGATTCAATTCACTAACTCTAGAGAACGCCTGTTTCTTCAATGCTCGTAGACGGAGTAGAAGTGAGTCCTGACAAAAATTTCTTTTTCGATCAGCACCATGGTCGCATTTGTAAGTACAAACGATTTCGACACATTTACATAGGCGTTCTTTGTGGGGCCTCTACCAGTCCGTTTTGCATGTTGACATCAATAAGTGTAGATGGTCATTTGGGGCCCGCCTGCGCATGAAGTCTGCCGACAAAACGAACAATGTTAAACATCTGATGAATTTGTTCTACCTAATTAATAGTTGTGATGAAAAAAACCTCATTAACAAACCGAACGCATTTTTGAGTTCATGTCGCCTAGGGACGTTATAGTTTTCTCTTGACCTCGAGGAGCTGATTTTTGTTCCCTTCGCTTATCCGCAATATCTTAAAAAGTAAAAATATTTCATCATTTTTACTGAGGTACTGAGGTACGCAGCCAATGGCCACCTAGTGTAGTAACAAGGGAAATTGAATGGCAACGCCAGAAAGATATATCGTTCATGCAAGCCGGCTTTGAGTCCTCGAGCTCTTTCGAGTAAAACCCGAAAATTGTAAATAAAGTTGATTAAAACTTTTGTGAGATTCTTTAAACATTAGAACAACTACGTAACGGTGCTGGGTATCAGAAAACCGATGAGACACGCCGTGGTTCAGGTAGTGCATCACTCTTGTTTGCCTCTGAAAGACAAGCCTATGGGTTCTTATATTACTTTCCTAGGAAACCAAGCCAACGACCTAATCGAAAGAAGTAGCCTAGGCATAAAACTGGCGTTACTGAACACTCATTGTACCAAGCTGTGCATAAGCTGAGGCACTTTAGTAGTCCTCATTATTCCTATACGCCCTCCATCCTGATCACAATCCATCCGTTGGATTTACCCAGATTTTCATCTTATCTGTTTGACGTGCCATTTTTAAAAGCAACCAGCTTGGTTAAAATCCTTTTGTTGTAACCTGCAGTGGACTTAGAGGGCCTCTTGCTTTGTTGTGTCTAATTTCATTTAGGTTGTCTGGTCTGACGCCGACGTTCACACGTGTACGTTGTTGGCAATTTCGTTTGGCGGTGACCGTTAGATTGTTTTTATGGAAGGGTTTTCGCCCCATGAGCTGTTGATTTTAATTTCAGACAGACGCGATAGGGAAGAATTTGACTGTTTTCAGTCGGCACCGCCATAGCGAATACATTATGAATTGATACTGGGACATCCATTTCTACGGCAAGTCAGCGCTTTCTTCTCTATAATAAATTTGACGCGGTAAAACTCGTAGCTTGGCATGTTGCCAGTTGACGGGATAACTCGATTCGCGTGGGTATTACTGGGTATGTTTTGGCGTGACTCGTTCGAGGACTGAGAGTCAGGCTCGACGGCATCTTCTTATTATGATCTCTATATCCTCAAAATTAATTAGGGGTATTTTCTGAAGTTTCTGCAATATTATGACAGGGATTGCAGGATAGCCTTTAAAATAGCCTGGTTCGCGTATTTTTGCAGTATATTGTAGTCAAAAGTCATTGAGACAATTTGCTGTTGACTTTGCCATGATAAGTGAAGTATTTAGAACTGAAAACTCAAGTGATTTTAGAATGAGGGCAAAAACACGCATTCGTACTTATAACATTGCAATGAAAGCATTACCGACTAAATTTCGGGTACTTTCCGCGGAGAAAGCTCTTTAGATATTTTCATCTAAAGTGTGGTGAGGAAAACATGGCTTACATTTATGAAAGTGGTCAGTCTGTTTAGTCAAAATAAACGCTGTTCTGCAACCTCCCAAAAGCCCTATTGCCTTTCCATAGGCAAATAGTAAACTGCGAAAATATAATTCAAAATAATTTACAGTCTTGCGTCTTTATAAAAACTACAATGAAGGAAAGGTGCTCACGGAGGAAATCACCAAATAAGCACTCGCTAAATAACACACTTGAGATTTGGTGAAAGACACTTCCCAGTTGTCTGCAAGGAGTATACTGAGGGTTTTTCCAGGCACGCGGACGACGTAAACCTTGCTGGATAATGTTCCAGCACGTCAGAGACCACAGCGGATTGCGAGTAACTCTCCCATATCAAGTTGCAAGCGGACGTTCGGCAAATTTACTCTTACCATGCCAAACGGAGATCCCCAAGAAATACGTTTCAGGCGAAGGACAGCGCTGCGGAAGCAGCTGACCGTCGCCTAGTTTGTGGCTAGTGGGTGGTAATCAAGTGACATTC